CCCAGCTCGAATTGGCTCCGATTGGAAGGATAGTGGGTAGACCTCAATAGTAGCTGCCTTGAGGTGTACCCACTATCGTCCCAATTGGAGCCAATCAGAGCTTGGCATTCTGACGTCACCGCCACACCTGCGCAAGAAGCAAACAAACTTTCCCTCCGCATAATCATGCAAGCATAAAAAAAAAAAAATGAATACTCATGAGAATTATGGCGGACATTAGGGTTTAAGCTGAGTGTGAGAGCAGCAAGCCGAACAGGAAAGAACACTATACACACAGCAAAATTTATACCTTCACGCCGCTGAACTAATGAAGCAGCGAGTGTCCCCTTCACCAGAACCTTTCGTGTCGGCACGGCTAAAATCATTAGCCTTGAACCAAGCTGATGGTATAAAGCAGTGGTTGTCAAATAGGGGTCTGCAAAGGCATTCTAAGGGTTCACGAAGCCCTGCCTCATCAGTCGAGCCAGGCAATAAAAGATGTCTCTTTTCAAATTCAGAAGAAACGTTCAAATTTTCGGGAGAGTTTTCTCGTGTGTATGTCAATGAGAGAGTCTACTCGACACTAAGCCTTAGTTATATTAACTTATCAAATTATTATCATAATTCACCTCTACACCTTTTTTGTTTAGCCTCACACAGAGCCCCTTTGTTCCCATATCTGGTATGCATTCCAAATGAAAGAAAAAGCAAGCGATTAATACCCAGAATGAGTAAACAAAATATAGGATGGACATAACAAGAATGACTAACGGTTGCAATTACAATGCGAACACGTTCAACTGGTGAGGCAAGAGTAAAGCAATGTTTTCACGCACATCGGAAGTTTCAAAATTGATGATGGCGGCACCTACACAGAAAAGGTGTATACCTTTCCCTTCCCCTCACCACAAACGGGGTCCTCCATCATCTTTTTTCCACAAGGGGTCCACGAAACATCAATGTTTGAGAACCACTGGTATAGAGATAGGCTTCCTTTGAGTAAAGAAGAAGCAGAAAACAAGTTTTAAAACCTCAAGCATCATCAGAGCTCTCTTATTATAAGTTTTCATAAGTGTCAAAACCCGTGATGGACGATTTTGCACTATGGCAATTGGATAAACGGTAGGCTAGCGAAGTAACGTCACTAGAAACTTAAAGGGACACTGACAAGGTATTTATGCTAGCCAAGGTTTCTATTTGTACATGAGATATGAGAGCCCAAGTACTCAGAACACAATGCAGCCAGCTCAAAATTAGTCATTATTCTGCCCGAAAACCGCAGATTGAGAACTAAACGGTTTGTGTCGCGCTCAGTCTCTTCTCTGTGGTCATGTGCCATTTTCTATGGTTTAGACACAACCGCCAAATATAATCATAGTCATGAGTCATTGAAGGTATGCACTAAATATTAAAAATGGAAACGAAATATGGTACCAATTTTTTGTCTTCTAAAAAGCGGAAAATACGGTGATTGAAGAAAAAAAAAGTTGCACAGCCACGTGATATCTGCCAACTCTCTCCTCCTCTACATTTCTTTTTTCTCCCCAGTCAAGTTTCGGTTTCAAGGAGTTGCGTTTTTTTTACTTTATTAGAAATATATGCGACGCTGTAGCAAAATATTGATTGGGTAGTCTTTTGACAACATTATAAATCGCCCGGCAAAATATGAAACAAAAATTTTCGGCGGTGTTGGTGTCCCTTTAATTACATCATGCAGTTGCACCGCTAACGCAATAGCTTAACCATGCATGTATAAAAGGAAGCTGCCTATTATGCTAATCTCATTGTGTTCCACCACAATGAGTTGGCCACATATAATTAAAATAAATAGTTCATTTTCTTTATTCGAGAAGTGTCTGGACTTCCTACAAACTGGAGAATGGTTGGGCATGTCAAACCAATCCCAAGAAACTCGCAACCAGACACTTAACATGTGCACAGGGTGTCACAAGAGAAAATTTACAGGGTTTTTTTTTACCGCAAAAATAAACTAGGCATTGCCGAGCGCTCATTCTCCGCCCAAAGGTAGCACTAGAGGTCACAACCAGATGCCAAAGTTCCAGCCTGATCCGATAACGTATTAAAAAGTTATAAGTGATTTTCTGACAAAATTTCAATCTCTACAGGCAGTATCGAAGATACAGATATCTTTGATATTGCCCAGGCCTGCATACTATCTGAATTTTTCTCGCAAGGTCATGGTTCACACAGTATATCTTTACACAAATATTAAAACTATGATCCAAATTGTAACTGCATAAAATGACATGACATCACCCTAATGTTCCACAGGCAGCCCGTTTGACAATTCTTTTTAGTGTAACTTTTCATTCAGCACCCTACAAGTAGAACATGTCCGAAGAGGTTTCTACATATGCTTCAGGTAGCTTTCTGAATGAAGTATTGAACATTTTCTTTGATATTTCCATACTCTTTGTTTAATCATATGGGAAGGAAAAGTACAACGACAACAATGTGTCCCGACTCATAAGCTAACTAACTGCTTGTGGGGAAAACGGGACATTAGCTGCCGGAACACCCATAAGCGCTACTGTTATACAGTATGAATCCTTGTTATGATAAATTACCCGTGTCATATCCTTTTATATGAGTGACAGCTCTTGATACCACAACTTAGCAATTTTGGGAGTGTTAGATGCTCAAAGATAAAGTGTTTTGTACATTTCATTACTGTCAATGTTAACATTGGTTGGCTTTTTCTGCAATTATGTTTCTGTTGCTTGAAAGTGTCATCCACAAAATTGGTATGCTGAGGTATGCCATGCATAGCATAAAGTTCATTCACCACTTTTGAATGTGCACATAACATTTTGGGTTCTGACAGCCTCAGGAATGGTAAATAGTCACTTGCACCTTGATGAAAAATAGGCAGGGTTCACAGATTACCATAAGGTTACCCACGAGAGACGGATAGGGGCAGGTGCATAAAACAATGCAGAGAGTAGGTTGTCTGCTTCTTGTGCAGGGGTTGCAGTGACGTCACAATAACGCCAAGAACTGATTGGCTTTGATTGAAAGGATAGTGGGTAGACCTCAATGCTAATGCCTCAAGGTCTACCCACTATTCTTTTTAATCAGCCAATAAGAGCTCCTTATTCTGACATCATTGCAACCTCTGTGAAAGAAGCAGACAAACTTACATCTGCATAAACATGTTAATATACTTTAATTATCAGCAAAAGTCACAAAGTAAATTAAAATGCTGCACTTCTTTTGCATCAAAGCTCACAACCCTTCCTATTTGTAACATTTGTTTCAACAAAATCTCCACAGAGAATATGCCAGCACTCGATAGGGACTTGTATGGCAGGGGGCAAGCGCACGAGTGGAAGGAAAAAAAATTAGCATTGATTTGTAATGTTTGTTTATTCATGGTTCACAGGTTGTTGGTACAGACACAGAGTATGAACATATTTCATAAACATTTCTTAGATCCCAATTTAAGGTTTTAAGAAACTTTTGAGGACCTTCAAATATATGATATTTCGTGTTTATTAACCACACTAAATGAAGAGAAAAAATTGGCCAAATATTTCCTGACAATGCATGAACTGTAGTCATGTGCGAATAGTGGATTTGGAGTTGAAAGGGAATAGTGGTTTTGGCCGAATATTTTTTAATTGAATATTGAATAGTTTTTCCAACCATTTCACTTGTCCACTTTCGTGAAGGTTGTTCCCAGGCTTCCACTTGTCCACTTCTAAGCTCGATTGATTTTAATATAGCTTTATTTATTAACTGTGGCATATAAATTACCAAATTGCTGCTGCTATCCTAATTGAGGAGATTTATGCCTGCTTGCTCTATGAAAATAGTCTTTCTTCCTTTTTAAATCTGACAAAAAAACAAAACAAGCACAGATGATGAGCGCGGGTTGTCAAAATATCGCTACCTAATATACTCTTACATACATAATTCCAGCAGGTTAGCCCCAATGAGTGCGCTTCTCACCGAGCACCTGTGCACTGCGAGAAGGCAATACCCGCGGAGCTCGCTGGCTCTGCGAGTATAGCTTTCCCGCAGTGCACAGGTGCTCAGTGAGAAGTGCACACAACAGGGCTAACTCGCCACGATCGACACTTCGAAAAGTATAAATAGCGCAGTTAATCTCTAAGCAAATATCGAATAGCACATTATTCAAAACTAATATACGAAAATTTGAATATTCGCACAACACAAATGAAATGTATCTCTAAAATTGCAGCAAAGACACATACATCAAGTTAGGATGACATCACATGATTATGCAGCGTCACATATCAATCTGAAGTATACACAAATAGAACTACCCCACAATATTTGGTAGGATTAATTAGCCTAACCAACATGGATGGACAGGCAGATAGACAAGTGTCCCGGAAGAGATTCATTAAAATGCATTTCATGTGTTAAAAAGATGGCTGCTATGGATAAAAGGTTTCCCAAATATTTATATATCAGGCCCAGACAAACCAGCACGATCAGCCACGTTATGTGCATCTAAAAACTTGGGGAACCTTGGTATAGGTCAGCTCTACACGCTGACTGAGGCCACTTGTCAGTGAAAATTTGAAATAAATTTTAAGCAGCACTTGCTTACACTTCACTCAGCAGTTTCTCCCTGTAAAACCATACAAATAATAAAGGCGTAAAAAGACGCCTAATATTAACATAAAGCTAAATGCTTAGTTCCAGCACCGAAAAGAAAAAAATGCCATCAGCGAAGTCTGCTTCTGTTTAAAGAGAGTCGCATTCAAATTTAAATATTGTTCGAGCCACGGGTGCACTGCGTGACACAGTAAGCATGAGCACAACATCCTTGTGTTTTAACTACAGCACTGCCAAACATCAAATTTTACGACCTAGGTTGGTAAAAGTAATTGTGTTGTGCATATGTTTATCCAGCCAGAAGTTAGTCGGCCTCAACGGGCAACCTGTCTCCCAGCTGTAGATGAGCAATATAGCCAGTGCAGTACAACCGCTAGCCTTGGGGTCTTTAACGTGCATCACGGAGTAGTGGTACACGACCGCATGTTGCGGTACGATGCTCATACAGATTGAAACAGGCAGGGGTGGGGAGTAAACCCAGGATCTCTGGATTTGTTTGTTTACAACTTTCACTTGTGAAAAGAACACCGAAAACAAAAAATGGATGTTGTGCTTGCGCTAACTGTGTCGTCTTCTGTAGAGAAAAATATGGGGCGCTATCTACTGCTGCAGCCAGGCAATGGGGACACAGGCACCCACCTGGTGGCCCTTTGCTTTACACCGGCTGCAGCAGTGCACCTTAAAAACAATAAAAGGTGCACAAGCCCTACAACGGACGTTTCCAAAAATTTTTTCTAAAGCCTTGCATAAAACAAAGGACAGACACTGAATCCCGCGGACTCGACAAACATGGTAGAGGTCCACAGCAAGTTTGCAGAGGTTTACCTGGTTGCCCTTGCTGAGAAACAGGTGCTGAAAAATCAATAAGTGGAGTAAAGAAAAAAAAAAAAAAAAAGCTGACCAATAGTTTATTTCTGTGAAGGGCATGGCACACATTTGTTTAAGGTTCTAACTAAGGTTATGTGTTTTCGAAGTTGTCAGGTGCAAACATACGAATCTACCACAATTTTACCAGATGTTTTTCTGATTTTTTTCGAGTTTATCTGGAAACGCAAAAATCTTACTTATAAATAGGGTTCCATGTTTTCGGATAAATCTGAAAAGCTGAGAAAAACACCTGCCGGGAAATTTTTTGTCAATTCGGATTTATCCGTAAAGCTCAGAATTTCAGTGTGCCCTCCCCCCCAAGAAAAAAACAAGACGATATTATACAATTAAGCGTGATCAGCACACAGGGTCAATGGTCCTAGGGAATGCCTGTGCCTCCAAAGGTACCTTTCAAATCTCGAATCAGTCAAAAGGGGTCTACCGCCTATCTAGTCAAGGTTCATTCAGGACAACAGGTCACTGAACTTTCTGGTCACGAAAAAAGCCACTCTTTTAATTTTCAGTTTGGGCGATACTATTTGTGCTTTCGAGGAAGGAGAGGTCGTGTTTTTGCAACTGTGAAAGCTATGAACCATAGAGGTTGCATAAAGCGGGGAAGAGTGATAGTTGAAACTGCTCTATTACATCCTTTACCACTCCACCTTGAGCAGCCACAAGGTAGGATGGGATGAATATCGGCTTTCCAGCGGCTACCTCCAGGAGTTTATTGATTTTAAAATATTGATGTTTATCGCAGCAACATTTGTGTGCAACTTTTGTTGTGGGACAAATTAGCGTTGCCAATGGTGATGGTACCAATGCTGAATCCAGCTAAAAGAATACTAATAGATACATCTTTTTATCGAACATATGTTTACACCCGGGTAAACATATGCTCAAAGCAGTCTATGGCCGTTGGCAATTATTCTGAGGCCCACCATCACTGACAATATTATTTAAGTAAGTACACAAGGTGGATACAATAACTTAAAAATGTGTGACTCAATCATTCACTATACAGGGCGTTTAATTTTATTATGAACCGATTTAAAAAAAAGCAGTGTTACAAGTAAGACAAATGCCATTTTCATTTTATTTTTTAGCCTCGGCAGACATTAGGTGAGGGGATAATCGTCATGGTAAGTAGGCTAATGAATAAAAATCTGTTAACTTTTTAATTATTGGTTTTGGGGTCATGTTGCAATTGCAGTATTCATGGCAATGACTATTAAACAACAGACCAATTGAAAAGAGTAAAAAAAAAATGTAGTGATTGTTAGATATATATCAATAAGCAGGGCTTATTGGTGCGAATGGCGCAGCAATCGCATCACTGTAAAATGAAAGAACTCCAAGCCCACTGCAAGAAGCAAGCTTTGTGAGGAGAGTGTATTTCACTGGTCTTCTCTGCGTATCGCTTGTTGCCTCGCACCCCATCAGGCTGCTTCGACTGAGCTTGGAAGAATGGCTGCTTCTGATAAAAAATTTGATTGCAGTGCTTTCTATTCAAATTGCTTTGCTTCGTATGAAGTGTAAAAACAATCTAAAGAGTAGCTTTGCATGCGAAATTGGAAGCAGGAATGTCTGGGTGACTCATAATGCAATTAAGCAAACACTCTTGCACGAATGGGCACTCAGACGGTTGTCATCCGAGTTCTTTTTGTTCATTACATTGCTGTTTTCCTGCCGTGTGGCACAAAAAACATCAATGAGGCCTTTACAGCGAGGCCTTATATGTACTATACAGTGGCGTAGCCAGGACTTGTTTTCGAAGGGGGCTGAGGTGGCTGGGATGTCCATTACTTGGGGTGCGGAGAGGGCGAGGTGGGGGGGGGGGGGGTCAAAATGCATCTGGATATTATAGGGCCGGCTGGATATCGGGGGGGGGAGAGGCTAAAGCTTCATAAGCCCCCCCCCCCCCCCCCTCCCTGGCTACGCCCCTGGTACTGTAGATAATGTCACTTGATGACCTGAGTGGAAACGATGCATCTTGCTTCTCAGGTATAGTATGAATGATGACACCTTGGTGTTTCTAATTTATAGGGTCATTGATTTCATACCAAGCCATTCTCATATAACTCACCGTTGATTCCATTTGTCTGCATTAACCATTCGCAGAGATTGTGTCGACAGCCAACTGTTCGGAGAATCGTTGTGGGGAAACCATTGCTGTGCTTTGTTGAAAGCTTCATCTGCCCAGCAAAGCAATTGTCAAGCTAAAACAAGAGCTTGAGACTGTTGTATTCTATCCTGCTGCTGTCCAGTTTTAAACATCTTTTATATAGTTGTATATAAATCACTGAAATGTTGCTGCATTTATATGACAGTGTATTGAATGCTCAAAAGACATTTAAAAAATGCCAGCGGCTGATTGTGATGATAGAAATAGGCGGCTAAGCTCTAAGAGATAAAGTTTGCTACTGCAATTGGAATATGGCATAGACCATCCTCGTTGAATAAATTATATGTCAGTCTGGATATATAGAAAAAAAAAAAAGTATATAAAGAGGCTTAAAAAAATTTTTGAGCCCTTCCACTTCACGATTTCGAGGACAGCATCTAAAACGACCTCTCGGTTGACCTTGAGGACGATGCCCAGAGATGATAACAAGGGATCAGGACCTCACTATCTGATAATGCCAAGGAAGGGTGACTCACACTACTTGCCCCCTCGTTTTAGTTTTATTTAAGCATACTTGCGACGACCAATGGGGAGCTTTCTGCCAACATCTGGGGATGCATTTTTTCACCAAATCCTACCGCATAACAACTTCGCTGTAAAAATTAAGTGGAAAAAAAGAATATTTTTGCTCCACTGCCCGCACCCCAAAGGTCTAGTGAGAATGACTAATGTGTACAGTTATCGTACAGTGTAAGGCTCCAAAATGGCGGCATGGATATGGATGAATTTGACCGCCACGGTGTGGAGCTTGGGAGTTTTGGTACTCTGGAAACCCATTCAGTGACTCTAGTGGGTACGAAGACAGCAGAAGTGGCGATGTGACTAAAACGACTATAGTGCAATTAACTTATAACGATACCACACATAACGATGTACCGCTTATAACGGTCAGTTTCTAGAGGACAATTCATTTTTGCGTGGGGTATCCAGCCCATATACAACGACAATCGGTTATAACGATTGCATTTTCGAGTTTTCTCATTAGCACTCTAAGTGGATTGCACTGTATGTCACTCTTTAAAGCGTCATTGTGCTGCATTTTTTTTAAATTTTAAATTGGGCTAAAAAACATAAAATTGTATGACTTAATATCTCAAAAACCATTACATTTCTACAAATTATTTCAATTGTAATTGCCATCAATACTGCAACTGCAACACGACCCCTAAAGCCAATAATTAAAAAGTTTATTAACAGGTTTCAATTAATTAGTCAACTAACCATAACGATTATACCCACAACTAATGTCCACCGAGCCTGAGATCACGGTGAAGGCGGCACTCGTCTAACTTTCACCCCCCCCCCCCTTTTTTTTTTTTAAATCTGTTTGAATCAATCATTGTGTATATTGGACCAACAGAGTATTTAAAGGCTCTAGAAAATGTGTCGCATGCAACTCAAAAGCTAAATGTGTCAGGGATGTGAGTGTTATGTACTTACATCAACAGTCAAGATGGTGACGTTGAGGGCAGCCAGCTTTTGTACCAGAAGGCGGTTTAGCACAAGCCTTTCTCTCTCTCTGGCTGCCCCGACAAGCCCACCTCTCGGTATAATCTTGTACACCAGCACGTGCCGTGTTGACTTCATGAGCCCGACAATGAAATCCTTGGAAAAGAAAGAACATCCATGTATGCACGTGACAAAGCAAAGTTATTTACTGCTGCTATTCAGGTTAATGGACTACATAAACTAGAGCACTTTGCTACTTCAAAAAGTAGTAACCCAAAGCTAGATAACAAGACAACAAAGGCATTCCCGACAAAATGGTGAGCTAGGTTACCGGTGCACGATTATAAAATTTAGCGCAATAAAAAAGACCTATCTAATCATCTTGAATAAATAAAACTAAGCTGTCAACCAGGAAAACCTCTTATTTGTTGTTTGAGATGTGATGATGACCAGAGAAATCTAGAATTTCCCCAGAGCAATAGTACTTGTGGTGAAATCGCTTTGCAATGTAAATGGAAGGATTAACTTTTGTGAGATTAAAGAGCAAGATTAATGCCACTCCAAAATATTATGCTTTTCTCTACCTCATTTCTCCTACTCCACTGGAAATGTCTGGAGATTAGAAGAAGCCACTCAAATGATAGCCTCTTACAAATGTGCACTTTAGTCTTGTGAATGCAGCTACACCAATTCGAATGTTCAATTAACCTAGTTCTGTGAAATGAACGCACCATCAGTGAAGTGTGAAAGAAAAGCCACACGACATTTCTTTTTACTGATTGCTGTGCAAAAGAAATCATTGGTTATTTTGCACAGCACAATATGACACATGCACTCTGCATTAGACACACCCGATATATATACCATTAGTAAACACATCTATCACCATACCTGCAACTTGCACAAGTTTAACAAGGTGATGTTATATGATCCCCTCAAACGGTCTTAAAGCAACAAACAAAAGTTTCAGAGCACATGTGTATATACCGTAAACGACTTAATTTTTGCGGGCTTAAATTTGCGCAAATCAGGCCAAAGCTGAAAATTTGAAATAATTTGCGGGTTCTAATTTTCGCGAATTGAGTGTAGCTTCTATGGCGTTCATATATTTCCCGAATCGTTTGCAAGACATATTTTTCGCGAACTGTAGGCGATTCGCGAAAATTAGGTCCTCGCGAAAATTTAGTCGTTTACAGTATACTGTTCTTTTATTTGTTGTATTAGAAAACACTAAACTTAACAGCAGAATTTGTTGAAATTTTTGCATTGCCTTGTGCAACAGAATGTGCCTGCTCTGCCTTTCCAACCATTGCACCCACTCAAGTATAGCACCATTGGAATATGGCACAGTTAGATTCATTGAAAACGAAAATATAAATTTTGTTGTTTAGCTGCATGTTTTGATCTGGATGAGCATTGTACAGTCATGGTACAATCTGCAGCCAGTACAACAGCAGTCCAACTCCCAGGATATTTTGGCAATTTCTCGTTGCCAAAATATCCAATATTTAGTTGCACCGGTGTACATGTGAAGTGCCAACACACTCTCAATAGTAAAGACCATCTTGATATTCTGAAGCACCGCATGAAATTGAATAAATTTACAGCGCATAAACAAATGGTACGGTGATGCTTTGAGGGGAGTGCATAAGTTAGTTCCACATGTTACAAAAATATGGGATTCTCCATGAAGGTGTGGCAGGCTGGTGGATGTTTGGTGCAAATTTCAGCTGTAAACATTATGAAAGAAAAAAGTTGCCTCCATTAAAAGGTGGGAAGGACTCTGACTTCAAGTTAAGTAAGCTGATGCCTTTCCAGACAGCGCAGAATGAATGTCAGAAAAAGCATCACAAAAATGCAGTTATTTGTAAAAGTAGCAGAGTACAAGATATCGTTGGCTTGTGGTTTCAGCTAAATGTAGGTCAAACTTTGAGATGCATCAACGACTGACTGACTGAACACAAACACAATGTAAAGAACAATGTTTCCAACTCAGAAACTAGCTAGGGATAATCAAGAATATTTTAAATGTAAGGCAAACTGGTCTGATAGAGAAGTAGTTCACAAAGAGTTAAATGATAGGAAACTGCTCAAATAGTAATCCGGGAAACTGTAACATTAAAGGGATGGTGAACCGAAATTTGGATTTCAGAAAGCTCTACAATCCCTACAACACTACTCGTAAAATGACATCTCGGATGGATAGCCGTATTTTCGGAAAAAGAGGTCGAGATTGAACGAGGCCGACGAGGCGCGTGACGTCAAGATATCTCATTTCCCCCTCTCTTCGCTTCGCACCCTCAAAGCGGCAAGGCGGAGAAGACGCCGAGGCCACTCCCTCTCCTTCTCGAAGAAACAAGATGTAAACATATCTGTCAAATGCGCCTCTTTTTTTTTTTAAATACAGTCATTTGTCCGAGATATTTCTGTATGAGTGATGTTTTGGCGTTCGTAGCATCCCGTTGCACGCTTTTGCCGCCGTGTTTTCTGGAATCCAGATTTCGGTTCAGCATGCCTTTAACACCACCATGCTGCTTCGGAAGAAATGAGTTTCCTAAGAATATATATATTTTTTTTTAATGTTTACGAGATTATTTTTGTTAGCACGATATGGGAAAGCACTAATATCCGAGCTACTTCTGTTTTGCGTGCGTTTGAACTCAAGTATACTCTTTTGTTTGTGCAAAAGTTCCTACCCTTATTGAATTTGTTGGAGTGCCTGACTTTGAAATGTGAACGATAAGGCCCTTGGTGATGGGACAATATTTTGACGGATGCCGTGTGGGTGCGAGTCAAGATTAAAGGAAGAATAAACATGTGGGACACACTACACAACAGCTCTGAAAGATGTTGTGTTATCTTTTCTAAATGTTTATTCTTTCTTTAATCTGGGACAATATAGTCGACCTTTCTTCTTTTTATGGTGCTGCAGAGGTGATTTACTTGTCTGTGGATTTGACGTATTTTTAATTTTCTTTTTTTTTGTCCTCTGGCTGCTTACTATTTTCCCTAGACTCGGGGTTTATCATCATGTTATAGTTAAAATTATTTCCCAACCAGAACACATTTTCCATTTTACTTGAAAAGGGCACATTCACAAAGACAATTTAAATTTTTAACATTTCATCGAGGAACTATTTTTCTTCTAAATCTTTGCAAAATAACTGCAACGCCTAGCCACAACTTGGGCGTCAGTAACTTCCGTTTTTTCTTTCGAAGGAAGGCACGATGAAATCCCAGGGATGTCCTATGGTGTACTGCCTGGAAAACCGCTTCAGAAAAAAGCTACGTGACGCACCTTGGCGAAACCCCAGGAGCAGCAATCCTCTCCATATTTCAAATTTGTTGCTTGTGGCACAGTTCAGACTTTGTTTATTTTGTTTCAAGATTTTTAAATATTAGTGTGCACCAGCTCGTCTGCGTTTGGATTTCAGTGGCATTGGCACAATATTGGCATTAATATCGCGATGCACTTATGTGAGGGGAATCTAAATATATACATACAACCATTGAACGCATATTCGTCGGAGACCGTCATCGAAAACGAAAAAATACGCGCTTAAAAATTATTACATATGGTAAGCTGCATGGGAAAAAACGGGACGGACAAAACAAAGCTCCATGCTTTTTGGAGCTTTGTGTTGCGTGTCCCGCTTTTCCACTGCTCCTGCATTACAGCCCGCCTGCACATTTGCTTTAGTTTCAATAACTTAATGATGATATTCACCTTTATTCGCGTGGCTATATCGTCGGCGGAGTCCCCGTTGAAAAGGTCGTTTCCACCGATATACACGGCAATGAAGTCCTCGGCGTGCAGGTGCAATTGTTCAACGTACCCGGGCAGCGTACGTGTCGATGCACCCGGGAAGCTGAAAGTGCACACTTGCACACTTGGGACAAGCCGCAGTCGATGGCGTTCCAAAAACTTCAACTGGCTATCCCCGACGATAGCACCTCGGAGTTTCATGGCGGCGGCGTCAGCGTGCGATCAAAAGGTAGCGAAAAACCGTCGAAACGAGTTTGAAAAACGGCACGTAACTAGTGATGGGACGAATCTTTATCCGAATCGAGATTCGGGGCCGAATCTGAAGATTCGGAAAGATTCGGAAAAGTAGCCGAATCTCAAGCGATTCGGAAAAGTTCGGAAAGATTCGGAGCGTTGTCATGGTTGCCAAATCACGTTGATGTGTGTTTCAACTTTTCGTGATATTAAATTCAATAAATTCTACAAAGTGCGCGAAGTAATATTGTAATATAATATCAGAGTAATAAATAAAATGTTCCGCTTTGTAAATATTATTTTGGATGTTTATCGAGAACGGTAGCCTAGCCAGACATCGCGGAAAAATTGGTTTCGGTTCCGGATCACGACCCAAATAGGCATGTTGTTGCACGCACGTGGAAATACAAGCGCATGTCTTCATCGCCGCAGGAGATCGATGCCGTACATGCTGTTCGGTACAGACACATTTCGTGCCCATAATTACTGTTGCAGTGGCACACACCACATAAGTGAGTATGCTCGATTCGATTATCTCCAGCGAGTGCCCACTGAAGTATTTCAATTGGAACACGGGAAAGAACCTGAAACTTCTGGTTAATGCAGGCTTTCCGATTTAGTGTTTGTTTCCGAACAATGAAGTTGTATTGGACGCCCCTGTGTTGTGTTTCTTTATGATCAAATAAAGTTCATGTATACAAATTTTGCTGCCGAGAACGGAGAATCGACAGTTGTTCTTTGCCACCGGCAGGGACGCCGGAAGTATATCGTGAGTGGGGGGGCTAAAGCCGCTAAAGCCATGTTCCTTTTTGTCGTTTTTTGTATGATGTACTATTTATTTTTTTTTACTAACAAGATTTTAAATAATACGATCTGAGTTTCGTTTGAGAGAAAACACTATCCTAGCGGGTTCGTTTTTGTTCCTTTCACTAGGTCCTGTGCGGTTTCTATTTTCTGCATGAGAAAACAATTTTCTTACGCAGTGCTCCTAATTTCTAAATACTGTATACCATCAAGAAGGAACTGTACATAATACGTTTTCAGAGATCACTTCTTTATTGATGGTCTACAAATTAGGAAAGCGAGGAAACAAGCACTGTGATTGAATTGACGCATTTACACAAACGGAACTCATGATGAGCTAAGAAGAACTGCGGAATATCTTACCTTGAGAATCTCCGCTTCCTAGGCATGTACGCTTTGGGGCTGGTAGGAAGAAGCTGGTGATCTTCTTTGGATGGCCAGACATTGCATGTAATGCTGGAGTCGAAGAGACACTGACTGACGCTGACTGCATACGCCTCTGACGGGTTGGGCCCTCCCGATGTCGTTGGGAGGGTAGGATCAGCCCCGATGATCTTGGAGCTTGGTGGCGGGCACGTTGTTGAATGATGCTCTGACTCGCTGCTTCTCGTAAATTCAACGTTTATCTAAACGCATTGAACTTGGACGACCACCTCTCGGGTTCCGAGTCTAAGACGAACTCCGCTAATTTCATTTCTCGCTTTTCGCATCACAACTCTAACTTTCCCTCGCTCTCGAAGGAAGAGCCAATAATTTCAAACCTGAAGATCATCACGTGCTCTCGACCGGACCAGTCGCCGGCAAGGACATCTTGAGACCTTCCTAAACGAAAACAACCGTCAAAGCTCGTCAAATATGACAGAAAGCGTCCGGTCCGAGGCGACAATCTGGCGCCACACATGTCTCGTCGCAGTATCCCCCACGCAACGACAACAGCAACACCAACAAAACTATAATCCCCGGGCTCTAGAGGCCCCCATACTAAGCCCCAGTTGGCCCCCGCGCGCCACTCCCCGGCCTTGCCACGGGCAGATCGGGTCCAGCTTGCTCTAAACCCTCGTAGCCGCCATGCTGATAAACGACGGACATTGGATTAAAAAAAAAAAAAAAAAAGCGCGCTCCCGAAATTAATTGTTCTTGTCTAAAATCTCTACGTGCGACAAGACTGTGCCTTGCTGCTCCGTGGCTTGCACCTAACATGGACGCACGTGATGCCTTCGTGACGAGCGCCTGGCTGGCTTTATATCCCCGAACTATTCTTATGAGGGCAAGGGGGCTGAGCCCCCCCATAAGAATACTTGGGGGGGCTCTGGCCCCCCCTGCCCCCCCTCTTCCGGCGTCCCTGGCCACCGGTGCCAGTACGCGGCCTAAGTTGTGACGAGCAACATTCATCTCGCTCTCGCGCCTTACAGGTACAGACATACGCAGCTCTATACTTCGTTTCAGCTTCCGTCCGAGCGCAGCCAAAGCTACGTGTGGCCGGAGCCAATCACACGCCGGCAATAGGTCACGCGATCTCGCCTGCACTTTTGTATCACTCCGCTGCGCCGCCCGCTCCGCTCTCGCCGATCTGCTACGGGTGTACCAACTGTATCGTCTGCGACGGTTTAAAAAGTGCCCTTTCACGTTCTGAAACTTAGTCACAGGGGATGTCAGTACGTAGGCTGGCCGCTGGCCGCTGGCATTTGTGTCCGAGCTTTCCACCTGTTCGGCATAGTTTCGAGTTGTGAGTACACGTTGCAAGGTCCCCGATGACCCGGCCGTTGATGTTTCCTTGTATTGTCTGGATATACCAGGGCTCGAGGCGCAGTCCTTTCCGCCAGCTTCTCGGCGTTCAATGTGATCGGCAGGTAAAGGGGTGCCCTGATTTCGCCGCGTATCTGAATTGTTGTGGCCCGGGCACTTTGCTTGTTTGCAACGCATTCGCGGTACAACGCGGCCGGAGCCTCCTGCCGAATTTGAAAGTAGACATTCAGCACGACTTCTCGCGCCTGACGCCCAAACGTGCCTTTGCGAAGGGCGTTTTGAAGCGATTCGACCATCGATGAGGAAAGCAGCGAAGCACATGATTCGGCGATTACGGGAATGAAATCACAGAAGAACCGAGAGCTGCAGCCGTGTTGCCAGCGGATATACATGTTTTCCCCAAACCACATGCATTTACATATATTAATAGAAACATAAACTTCAGAGATTTGATTCCTTTAGTTGCAAATCATTTTCAGCAGTACACATCTGGAACATTGTGCAGTTTTTACGCCCAAAACAGTCATTTTAAAAGAAATTATTTTTGTGAACTACTTTGTGGTGCGTAGGAATTCTCGAAGTTGCGAACCGTCCCTCAGCCTTTGGCTGCGCTCGGACGGAAGCTGGAACGAAGTATAGAGAAGGAGACAAATCATTTCCTTGCCTGAATATATATTTATTGTGCGTTGCGCCAGATTACATATAATACACAGCGTTTCGCTACATTTTACCGATCACCGCGAAACCGCACAGAAAGCGAGACCGTGCATTGGTTAGGCCTACCTCAACCACACCGATCAGCTCAGCTGAACCTGGGCGCGTGCCAGGGTTTACAATGACAGTACAGTACATACCATACGTTGAAATAAACAAGACGAAATCTGGTTATATGCAGGAACAGTATTTAACAAGAGCACAACTGACCGCATTCGCGAGGTTTACAAGCTTCATGCTGCCGCCTGCATCCAGCGACGAATCTGACGAATCTCCGAATCTGCCGAATATTCGTCGCGAAAAGTTCGGAAATTTCCGAATCTGTCCGAATCCGAATCTCCGGTGATTCGTCCCATCACTACACGTAACCACGTAACTATGGTAACCCCGGCGACGCCACGGAGCGACACGCTGGCAACCAGAATCATCCCTAGTCGAGTTATCCCTACGCGGCCTACGCGGTACCTACAATCCTGCAGCCAATCAGCAGAGGAGATGGGGCTCTCCGATTAGGTGCACGCCGCTCCTCGCCGGCCCCGCCGGAGCGAGGCATGACGGGATTGCATTTTGGCGCACTCCCGATTTTCTCGGTGCAGCGAGTGCATGCACGCGTGGGGTGTCAGCGCTGAAACCAACGTTACTAAAACACTCAGTTGGGAAACGCCCATAGAGACAGCCCCAAAAATATGGCCCCAATCTGTCTCCGAGCACAGAGCTAATGACGAACACAACGCCACCATTTCTCCCGCAGCGGCCACTCGAGAAACTGCACGTGACATCTATTTTTGGCTTTGACAGGGGTAAACCCCCGTCTCCCCGGCGGACACGCCGCGTTGATCTGCTGAAGTCAAAATGCACCTAGTTCGGGACGCGCTACCTGAAAGGCCCGCTGAGGCATGGTTTTATAAAAACAATATTAATTGTTCCGCAAAACCTTGCGAACTAAAGATGATAAAAACATCACGCGCCCATCATTTGGTACTAAACTCCAATAAATTTCATACAAAAAGAGTCTTTTCCGTTTGTTTTTACGCAAAAAACAGGCTTTCAAAAAGCTCGAGGTGACCATAGTACAGACAAACGAAAAAGAGTGGCGCTGTTGTCGCATTTAGCTCGGTCTCGGTGGACGCCAGCGGCCCAGGTTTCGACGGCGAGTTTCCCAACTGAGTGTTTTATGGCGAATTCCACTGGTCGTTTTGGAGCGCGCCGGGATCGACTTTTCTGGAGCGAGCCTATTTCACTGGGCGATCGGGATTGAGACCGACATGTTTCACTGGTCGTTTTGGATTAGCTCCCGCTCCAGATCTCGATCTGGATCCGATGGCGAATTCCACTGGGTGTTTTGGAGCGCGCCGGGATCAGTTCACCAGATCCGGAATGGAGCTCACAATCCGAACGGGGTCGCGCCGGCGATGGATCCCCCGTGGAACATGACCACTGCTCCGGGATCGGAATTTGCCTTCATGTCATTCAACTGCCGGGGAATCCCCTTTCCGCGGCCGCCGCGGTCGTTTCGAACA